AAAAAATGTAGAAGTAAATACAGGAGATGTAAATATGGATGAAAAACCTAGTACATCAGGTGTAAAAAATCCAAAAGGATTATACCCAAATTATTATACAGCTAATTATGAACAACATGATAGATATAATACACTATGGGATAGTAGATTAAATAAAAAATGGACACCAAAACCAATATCAGAACAATATAACTTTTTAGATTTAGATTGCGTAGCAGATATAAATAAAACAATCCAACTATGGATAGGATATGTATCTAAACAATTGGTAGATAATAAAATAGGAATGACAGAAACACCAGGATATATAGAAAGAACACTCATGGAATGTCGTGAAGGGTAAATCAAGGTGTCTCCGCAACCAAAAAGGAAAAGGAAAAAAGTGTGCCTTCAAATGATTATGCACGTGTCGCTGGATGCAGGTGCTTTATTATTTGGAATTTTACTGTAGCATATTGTGCACGTTTTCAGTCACAATTATGATGACAGAAATATCACTATTTGTAAGCGTGTACTCAATTTCATCTCCAATTACCATGTCTATTGTCCAAATTATGATTCCGTCGTTCATAAGGACTTACCTTAGCTTCGTTATGACAATGCCTGCAGTCAAATATTTCATTGCAGCAAGGGGCTCTAATGCGACATCTACGCCGATAGTGAGAACAGCTGGAAACGAAAACATATTAGTGAATAGTTGACAATCATATGTCCACTATGCATGAGGTATAGGCTAACATAGAGAGGATTTGTATCTATACCTTCAAGAATATCATAGAATTAATGATCGAATGTCAAAGCAAGAGTGATTGGACAAAATAGAAATAAGTTTACCATCATGAATGAGACAGAGAACATACCCATATTCCAAGTATCCTATGTCAAGGGCTTCTGTAGAAGAGGATTTTTCGTCACGTGTTCCATCCTCAGGCAAGTAACCCTCATGGAAATTCTGAACCACGTCAGCATCACTCTTAAATATTATGTTGTGCATGTTTATTGCCTCAGAACGTGGAGTCCCTGAATGTTCAATCACTACATCTCCCATCGAGCCTTATGGATGAACTTAACTACTACAAGCCCTGCATTCAGGAAACAGTTAAGGAAAAAGTCCTAAACCTACAAAAGGCATGTCTACTTGCCCCTCCAAATGGGCAAAACACCTCAGACAATGTTGCTTTCTCGCACATTGCAGAACACCAATTGAAACCAGCAACTACACATTCCAACTAAGGTTGAACAGCTCCAATCAGCAAACTCCACCGTGAGAATTCATCAAAACAAGTTGATCTACAAGAATCCACAAGTGGGTCCACAAGGAACCCAAACTAGAACTATCATGAAGCATTGCATAGCTCCAAAGCGTCCAGCAGTACATAATAATGATTGCATGATAACTTCATTCTTGGAGAAGTCCTCCATTTAAAGAGATACTGACGAAGGGTAGTCCAACCTAAGGTAAAAGCAATGGACAAAGCATCAAACCCGTCCTCACAGAGAAAAGCATTAGGGGAAAAGTGCGAGAAACTGCAGAGATGAATTATTTTGTTGTCCATCGAGAACAACCCTACCTCCGTCTGAGATTCTGCATCATGTAGTCTTCAACATGGGAAACTTACCCTGATGAAGAATTTTATAAGTCCTAACAGCGTGTTACTTGGAAGCGTCATTGTCTGAAAGGAAAGTGTTATCAGTTGTGTAACAACGTCCACTGGTCCATACTCTCTGGCTCATTTTTTGCCTTTTCTTTTTCTTCTTCTTATTATTTTTTTAACTCTTTACTTGTTTCTTCCTTTTCAACCAGAAGTTTATTATTGTTAACCAAGACCTCATCAAAGACATGCCTAATATTTTACTATGCCTACAAGTTTTGAGATGCATATAAAAAGCATCTTGTGCCTTAATATCTATCTTTTTTCGGGGTCCAACTTCTCATGCAATAAGTAAACTGTATGCAGTCAATGCCAACTGTTGAGGAGAGCCACAACCACGTACGAATGATCTCCTTCAGAAACCTAAGATTACATCGGTTGGATGACAAAACATAGCAGAAGGAAATAACCTGCCAAGTCTTGGAAAGCACTCCAAACTCCCAATCCAAAGTCTGCCAATTAAAGGAAGGCAAAAACTGCAAATACCAATAGCCTCTATGGTTACCGGCAAGTTGAACAAAATATAGGAAAAAAGACACAGAGTGACGAACAAACTGCACAGGAGATGGACATGTATGTCCAAAGAAAAGGGCACTGTGATGACTGCTACTTCCGTTTGATTCAAGTTCCCAATTTTGCTACTTCAGATTGATCACATACATACGTAGAAATGCTAATGTTTATGGCCTCAAAATTTCGCAACAGAAAAGGAACAGATGAAAAAAATAACGATCCTCTGCACCAAGTTTTTCCATGTAAAGATTGTTTTGATTAGTATACTTTCGCTTATAACAGTATTAGATCTTCAAAATCTCTACTTTAAGATTTTGTAACTAGTCCACTGTTTATATATACTTTCTAAAGGTTTCTAGACAGTCTTATGATTCCATATATTCAATACCTAGTTGGAATTTCGATTCAGAACTGTAGCTTACATACTATAGAAAGACATCATGGACAGTATACGCTGAAATAGCAGTCAAGAACAAGCCAGGCAAAGTTTTGTTGAACAACCACCAGATGCTCTGATCACATCTGTATCTGTCCTACTTGAGAATTCCTAATCCCTATCTTGCCAGATGTTCTCAAAATTAACCATCAATTCCACTTGAAACACTTTTCACCTTTGGCATCCATTCAGCCATTCTTAGGTAATCAATTTGACTAAACCATGTACGAGTTTGAGATAAGTCGGCAACACATATTCTGAACTTGTGCTACCTCAAATTAAACTATCATTCAGGTCCAAAGAAAGTCAAACTAAGACAGAAATTGCATAGGGAGGTGACAAACGCTGCTGCCACTCAGGCAAATTTCTCACACAATTCCTGAACAAAGATAGATGCCCGAAATAGAGGATTAATTACACTAAATGCATCAAGAAATGACAGTAGGGTTCTAAAGCCATCAAAGCTGGAAATACATCGATTCTATTAATCAAACCCTATCCAACCAGTACTTAAACATTGTACACATTATTTTATTTAACATAGAAGAAACCAGGATAAAATAACAATAATCAGACACCTAATAGACCAAGCAGTAGTCGCAATTAAACAATTGCAAGGCAACTATTCATAGCACAACAACTGCAAGCAAACAAATGGATTGTGACCTCAAGCACGGAAAACACGATCCTTAACAAAAAAATATTTTTCTTTCTTCATCACACAACAATCATAATTTCCTATAAATTCCATAGGAAAACAAAATCATGACGGAAGCACAACAATCAGAATACGTACAAATACCACCAAAAATCTCCTTTGTTCCAACTAAGGCATACGCATCGTAATTCATATAAGCAAAAAAAAAAAAAAAAAAAAAAAAAAAAAAAAAAAAAAAAAAAAAAAC